CCTCACCCTCTCGAGGGGCTGCAAATTGTTTTCCCGCTTGTGGATGCTGTGCCAGTCTCTGAGCTGGGGTAGCTGGGTTTGCCCCATCCCCATTTCCATCTTGCCCTGCCAGCTCCCCACCGGCAGCTCCGCGGAGAAGCAGTTCCCAGCTAATTCCCCAGTGAAGGTACCGGCAAATGGTTCCTGCTGGGCTCTGGGCACAGCCTTAAAACCATTCCCGGGGGTGAAGCGCCCGGTAAGACTTGTTAACACGCTGCAATGCTGGGCTCAGCAATGCAGCGGTGCTGATGGGCAGCAGGAGTTTTTTCCGTCGACCTGCGCAGCACCTGGACCGGGCACTCGGTTTTCCATGTCACCAGGAGTTAAAAATACCAGCTCACATGCTCCGCTCCGGCCGATTCGGGATGCGGTTACCAACAACAGCCCATCATGTGCTGTCAACCCCGGTCCCGGCGCTCGGGGCCTGTGATGGGACCCACACTCCGGGTCACGGAGGGGAACCTGGGGGCTCTCGCCCCCGTTTTATGTATTATATTATTTAATTTCCGCCGGCTGTTACGGAGCCGGGCCCCCCCCCGGCTGAGCACAGCACCCACACGCCAGTCAGCAGAAGCCAGCCCCGGGCTCAGCCAAGCACAGCTGTGAGCACAGCGATATTTATCAATAAAATATAATCCTCGAAATGTAATACCAACACTGGGACGGGAAGAAATAAAGTCATGAGTCACCGCTCCAGCCCTGTGTCCTCGTGCCACTTGGAGCCATCGTGCCCCACGGGTGACACCTCTCCAGCACAAACTGTCCCTCCTCTTCCTCACCCTTTCAAAGAATAACATTTTCAGTCTTTTAAAAAATAAAAACCTCCCCAAGCCCAACCCCAGTGTTGTCCCCAGCGCCCCATCCGCTCGATGCGCTTCCCGTGGGGCTGGATGCGGCCCCGGGCTGCAGCTCCCGGGGCTGCGGCAGAGGCGAGGGCAGCCGCGGTTGGGGGATGCCTCCTCGCTCGCCCTCCCGCTGATCCCGCAGTTCTGGAGAAGACTTTTTTTCTCTAATCACTTTCTGTTTTATTTGGTTCTGCTTTCGGCTGAGTCCCTTAATAAGGCCTTCTAAAGACGGTTGTGAGGTGCGTGAGCAGCGGTTTCTCGATGGCTGAGGCTGACACCAGCAATTAGCACCAAGGGCCTCGCGCAGGCAGCACGCTCGGGCCCCTGCAGCCAGCGGCTTCTCGAGCTGCGGGATCGTCTGGAGGATCATTATTACTGAAATAAATCTGAGCGGAGATCTGTGGGGTGTATTTTTCTCTTTTTTTTAAAGTATGACCTGATTACTGAAGTGAAGGAGGCTTTAAAAAAGCTAATCCCTACCGGTCTTTCTGCAAATGGAAAAGTCAGTTTGGAAACACCAGGGCTTTTCTGCATCAGCACCTCCCTCTGCGCCTGAGGAGGGGGTCAGAAATGGGTGTTTCTGGGGTCGGAGGGTAGCGGGGTGCTGCAGAGCCAGGGCCAGCGGGGAACGGGAGCTCTCTCCTCGTCCTCAGCCTGCGTGCAAGGTAACGGCTCAGAGCCCTCAG